TATAGGACACTAGAACAGTTCATTAAATAAAGTGGGTGGAAACTCTGATTCTACCTCTTAAACATCTCTCTCTAGTGCAGTGGTTTTCAAATTGTGTTTCTCAGCCCTCAGAAGGGGCTGCAAGATGCAAGGGGAAGAGAGGCAGAGGGACTCATATCTTCTACCTCCATCAGCTCTGTAGTTATTTGTTTTGTATACATAGTTAGAAATCACAGAAATTCTAATTGTCTCACAAAAATTCCAAAGATGTGAACAAAATGTGGTAAGATGATATCCTAAGATGCAAGAATGGAGAATTTTTCAGAAATCAGAAGATATAAGTCCTCAGACTGCAAATAGCCATTGAGAGTCAAGTAGAATAAGTAGGAATATGAGAGGAAAAGATTTAAGTGAAAAAATGGTATCAAAGATTAGTGGATAATGTGATTGAGAAAGTCATTTGGGGTCAGGTTACTGAAGCTTTGGACACCAGGCCAAGGAGTTTATCTTGTAGAAGGTGGGTGCTGTTAACAAATATGTGGCCACTACAGAAAAATCATGCTTTATTTCTGCAACAGGAAGACAGCAGGGACACTTTCCGTTAAAGAACAGCTTGCTATCCAAATTCTTGTTTTATATCTTTTTGATATTTTATATCTTTATTTATATTTTGAAGAGTGAAAGTCTCTCCTAATATTCTGAAATGTTACTTTCAAGTACTACATTTACAAGGGCTATAAAATTCTAAAGATTTAGAAAACAAAAATGAAGACAATACAAACAACACCTTAAGAAACCATTTAGTCTATATTCATTGACCGAACCTTGTTAGATGAATTGAACAGATAAAAAATCTATTGCTTCTAATGATTCCCCAGAAAGGGAGGCATTCATTCTTGTACTTGTTAGCAAAGTTGAGGGCCAAGTACAGGCCACCGTGTGAGGGAACTGGGTTAATGAGCCACACCCTTTCCCCCAGATACTTGCTCACAGTCTAGTGGGGAGACAACCGAAGCATTCGTTACTACGATAACGTGGGATTTGTGTCATCAGTGAAGTATGCATTTTGTTGCTCTGGGCGCCTCAGAGGAGAATGTAAGGAATGGAGGTTGGGGAGACTTCTAAGAGGAGGTCGTGGTAAAGCTGCATCTGAAAAGTTGAATTAATTAAGCTGAAGGTATTCTCAGCCTCAGGACACACTAAGTACAAGTCGTTTGTATGGGAAATGCACAGGGAACTGATGGAGACATCCTGAAAATGGAGCTGGAGAGACATAAATGGAGGTCAGTTGTGAAATGTTATCTTAGCATTATCCTATAAAGCTCAACTTTATACGAAAGATGATAGGAAGTCAATAACTTTCCTATAGAAGCAAACGTCAGGATTGGATTTGGGTTTGAGAAGGATCACTTGGGGAGCAATGTGGAGGGCAGATATGAGAGGGTGAAGATGAGGTAGGGAGACCAGAGGGAAGAAGAATGCAGTAAACTAAGCAAAAAAAAAACGATAACAGCCTCAGGCAAAGCTTCTTCACATTGTAGATGTAGAGGCAAATGGGTTTCTGTTTGTTTTGTCTGTGGGGTAGAACTCTTTCTCACAAATGAAATGTTATGTGAACCTACAGTACAAGATACATCCTCCATTGCTTTATCTTTCCTCAGCCTGCTACGGAGATGTTCTGTTCCTTCATCTAATGCATCTTCACATATGACTTGTCTTCTGCATAATCAGTGTGCTGAGATTTAAAAAAAATAATGGCTGTATTTTTACTTGGCTATTTAGAGCTTGTTTAATAACTCCCTGTTTTTTAGTTTACAGATGCAAGTTCTTTTACATTTCAAACATTGTAAACACCTGGTCCTGAACTCCCTATCATATTGTTCTATTATTGCTAGCTCCTCATGTCATATGAACTGTTTTTCATGTTGTGTGTCTTATTTTGTTTTAGCTTGTATTATTTCTTCGGAGGGAATGATCTCTCGTGGAGATCTAGATAACTGCCCTGGGGTGACTTTCACTGCTGCATGTATCAGTGCCTTCAATACCCACGACTTTGAATTTTTCGTGTTAGTTTTTCAGCCTGGTAATCTCAGAGTGCATTGGTAATGAGAACTCAGTTCCCACTCCCACATGCAGCTCAGTCTTAGGGTTCTAATATTCCTCAAAGACTTCCTCTTCACCTGGAGGGTGGGGCGGTTAGTTTATTTCCAGTATATGCCTCAGATACACAGGTGTTCTGCTTCCTTCACGGTCTGAGCAATGCTTTCTGGGACTCTCCTCATTTTGTACAGGGAGTCCAGTTCTGATTCCCGCCATGCACACTCTTCCTGGGCCAGAGTCTGCACTTGAATGGCCATGAAAACCTTCGACTCTGACACATTCTCCTGTTCCTGATGTTTGCATTGTTCCTTCTGTGAAGAGATTTCCCTTTTTGCTTTTGAGTTCTGCTGATATTTAATATCTGATGATACTTGCTGTGTCTATTTCTATATGTTTGAAAATGTTGCGCTCCATTGATCTTACCTGGAAAACTGCCTGTTATTCTTTGACTAAACGTGTAGCCCTTGGTTTCTGTTGTTCTCTCCATTCTGAACGGTCTCTCAAAGTATCTCTGTCTGTTTTAACCATACAGGATGTGAGGTTCTGATGAAGGTAAGCTTTTTCATGCTTTTTTCCCTTCAGGGACCAAATTAACCCCTAATCAGTTTCTTATCTGAACTCCTTTGACATCCATTTGATACTTAATCATATTTTGTTATAATTACTTTCTGGCTATTATTTGTCTTCTTGTGAAATTATAAAAATTTTGAGTGCTGTGGCCACTTCTTAAGCTTCTTGGATTTCTCCATGAGATATGCACAGAACTGGGCATTCAAGTAAATACATTCTAATGGAAGAGTGATTGAAATAAAAGACACATTAGAATAAGAATAATTTTATAGTATTTTAGATTGAATTTAAAAGCATCCAAGCACCCAGGAAAACATAATTTGTTTAAATTTTGTTTTTCTTTGTATAATTATAATTATTTTATTTGAGAGTCATGAGTTTATAATATTAGAGAGATTTTATACAAGGTCCTAGGAGACTGAAGGAGAACAGAAAGATTTTACTTCAAGCAGTATAGAATTAACATGATAGATAAAATCTTAGAAGAATGTGTTTGTGCCAACAAAAGAAACTTCCTTAACCAGTAGGGAGAACTAGCTCTTTTTGTGGTTGTCCGCTTAGACTGATTTGGTCTTGAGTAGATTAACTAACAAACAGCCGATTCTCAGAGCTACTTTGAAAAGGAAATGTTTGAGTTCCAGTTCGTGGGAGCTCAGGAAGGTATGGGATGCAAATTACATTCCAGCACAAACTGACCAATCAAGCCTTGAACACTTCTGAGGTCTTTGGCTTTGCCTGTGAACATGGGAACACCCAAGGGCACCTTCAAATTAAAAATAAACACACTGTTCTAAAGAGTCCTGGATCTGTAATTTGGTTGAAATTTAAGGGGTGTCTTTTTATAGTAACATAGTCCATAAAGGAAATAAAATTCAGGTAAGGTTAAGTCCTTTCCAGTCATAAGTATGTAAATGACCTTCAACTCTAAATTCAGATACTTTAGGCATTTCCCAAATCCTCCTCCCGAATACTTTGTGGGTAAAACCTATGGTGCAATATATTATTTCCAGCCAGATTTTTATAACCTGTTGGATGATACTACATTAATAAAAATAATACCTAGCATTTATTATATAATTTGCCCTATGACAAACTGTATTCTTATACTTTACAAATATCTCATCTGATACCTAAGTAACTCTATGATGTGACTAGTATTATCTCCCCTTTGCAGAAGGAGAAAACTGAGATGCAGAAGGGCTAGTTACTCTACCCAAGTCACAAAGGTGTTTTAAAAAACTGTGAAGTTCCCGCTGGACTCTGGCTCATGTTCCAACCTTAGAAGACATATTTATTTGTCCAGGGTTCTCTTGGAAACTTCATATTTTTTTTATATTAAAGAGAAAAATGTCGGTGTTGTTTAACTTACCATTATCTTGCAGTCTGCACTCAGAAGAAAAGGTTTCAAGGCAATTTAATTCTAAAAGCATTTCTGAGTACCTATTATTTGCTATTCACTGCACTTAATAATGAACAGAAGAGAGGCAGAAACTCTCTTTGCATTACCAATTCTCCAAAGGCAAGAGCCTTTCTGTTACAATTAGGTGACAAGATGTACTACTGATTGTTCATGCTGATACTGATGATTTGCAGTTGCAGTATGGTGTTATGAAAAAAGTCACGAACCTGTGACTTCACTTTTTCTCTGTAGTTACATAAGATAGGTACTATAAGTGCAAATGAACTCAAATCAATAGCTCCTGTTCTCTGAAAGTCAGGCATGAACCAATACTTCCTACAACTCTGATATTTGGAATACTTTTATCACACTTAATGTAATAAGAATTAAATAATTAATTATGTTCTCATTATTTGAAAGAACGTGATCCAAAAGGAAGCTTGTAGGTTTTTTTGGAGGTGGGTAGTGGTAAGAACATGTTAACATATTTCCTATCAAGTACTTTTCATGTAAATTTAAGCATTTTCAAAGGAACTGAAGCATGCATGGAAAAGAGGAAGTTGGGGACCTTGTGGAAATAATAATGCTGTGAGTTCTCAAACTTGCCTGCCCTTTGGGTTTGTTTGGAAAGTTTTAAGAAGTACTGATGCCTGGGTCCAGCCCCAGGCATTCTCACTGAACTGGTCTGCAGTGTGGCCCAGGCTCAGTGATGCCAGTATGCAGCACAGTTTAAGAACCGTAGTTCTCGAATCTAGTATCTAATTGATCACTGCTTCAGCGTCCTGGCATTCCTCCAGACTTCTGGGTCTTTTTTTCATTTCATAGTTTTGTCAAGCAGTTTGGATGTTAACCTGGTTTCCTGGAGTAGGTATTTCTTCTGGAGAGTGATCTTACGTCTTGTGAATGATTAATTGACTTTTAGTCAAATCAGTCCTTGGTAAGCGACCTCCTCCTCTCTGTTCCTGCCAGCCGATGGGCTTTGCCCCAGCATACCTTCATCAAGGCTCCAGATCTACGGAGCTAGCGACCAACCCTAGAGACAAGAAAGGTAACAGCCATGTGGAGGCTATTCCAGTTTGTGGACCTGCTTACCCCAAATTACTACATGCTTGTTTCTTACATCTGCTTAATCATGCCTTTGGACCAGGGGTTTTCAATCCTAGCCACACATTAAAGTCACCTGGCAGATTTCAGGATTCCTGATGCCTGGGTCACACCACCAACTGATTACAGCAGAATCTCGGGAGGGGGATACAATCCAGTCACCAGTGTATTTTTAAAGCTTCCCAGAAATCATTGAGAACCACTGCATTTGACTGTGATACTCCTACATAGTTACTGAAAACATTCCTGAATATATGATTTTTTTCAAGCTGATGTTCTGGAGCTGCAGAATCGTGGCCATATATATCTTTTTCATTACTCGAACTCAAGCTGATTTGATTAGTGACAGATGAATATTATTGGAAATCTAAAACATTTTTTAATTATTTTACTTAAAAATCACAGTTGATGTACAATATATATTAGTTTTAGGTTTACAACCCCATAATTAGACATTTATATAACTTAAGAAGTGATCACTCTAGTACATCTAGTACAATCTGACGCCATACATGGTTATTACGGTGTTGTTGATATATTCCCTATGCTGTACTTTACATCCTCATGACTGTTCTGGAACTACTAATCTGTACTTCTAAATTCCTTCACCTTTTTCACCCATACTCCCACCCCCCCCCATCTGGCGATAGTCAAAATGTTCTCTTTATCTATGAGTTTGTTTCTGTTCCACTTGTCTGTGTATTATGTTTTTTGGGGTTTTTTTTGTGTGTGTATGTATTATGTTTTTAAGATTCCAATAATAAGTGAAATAATCTGGCATTTGTCTTTCTTTGACTGACTTATTTCATGTCATCTAATACCACCTTGTTCCATCCACGTTGTTGCATATGGCAAGAGTTCTTTTTTATGGCTGAATTATATTTCATTGTGTATATGCACCACTTATTCTTTACCCATTCATCTATACATTGTTTCTCTATATTGCATCTATATATTGCTATACATTCAGCTATACATTGCTTCCATACATTGGGTATTGTAAATAATGCTGCCATAAACATGGATGCATACATTTTTCAATTTAGTGTTTTGGGTTTCTTGGGATAAATACCCAGAAGTGGAATTGCTGACTCCTTCTTTGTCTCTTGTTATAGCCTTTTTATCAAAGTCTGTTTTCTCTACATGTTGCTACCCCAGCTTTATTTTGTTTTGTTTTGTTTCCATTTCTATGAAATATCTTTTAGTTTCTGTGTGTCTTTTGATCTGAAATGAGGCTTATAGACTGCATATGGAAGGGTCTTGTTTTGTTATTTATTCAGTCACCTGGTGTCTTTTGATTGGAACATTTGATCCATTTGCATTTAAAGTAATTGTTGATGTGTATTTATTGCCATTTTATTATTCATAGTTTTTATCCTTTTTTTCTTCTTCAAGAAGACCCTTAACATCTGTTGTAACACTGGTTTGGTGGTGATGAACTCCTTTAGATTTTCTTGTCTGGAAAGCACTTTATTTATCCTTCAATCCTACATGATATCTTTCCTGGGTAAAGTAATCTGGGTTGTAGATCCTCACTTTTCATCACTTTGAATATTTCTTGCCAGTCTCTGGCCAGCACAATTTCTGTTGAGAAATCAGCCGACAATCTTATGGGAGCTCCCTTGTAGGTAACTAACTGTTTTTTTTCTTGCTGCTTTTAAAACTCTGTCTTTGTATTTAACCTTTGCCACCATAATGATGATGTGTCCTGGTGGGGCCTTTTTGAGTTTATTTTGTTTGGGGCTTTTTTACATTTTCTGGACTTGTATGTCTGTTTCCTTCACCAGGTGAGGGAGGTCACTATTGTTCTGCTTTCACATAGATTTTCAGGTTTTTTTTTTTAAAGATTTTATTTATTTATCTTTAGAGGGGAAGGGAAGGAGAGAGGGAGAGAAACATCAATGTATGGTTGCCTTTCGTGAGTCCCCTGCTGGGAACTGGTTTGCAGGGAACCTGCCTGCAACCCTGGCATGTGCCCTGACTGGGAATTGAACCACGATTGTCTGGTTCGCAGGCCCGCACTCAATCCACTGAGCTACACCAGCCAGGGCAGGTTTTCAGTTTTTGCTCTCTTTCTTCTCCTTCTAGCACTGACATGATGCAGATGTTGGTCAGCTTGAAGTTGTCCCAGCAACTCCTTATACTGTCCTCATTTTCTTTGAATTCTTTTTTCTTTTTGCTGTTCTAATTGGGTGTTTTCTACTTCCTTATCTTCCAAATTACTGATTTGATTCTCAGCTTCATCTGCTCTCCTATTGATTCCCTGTAGTGTATCCTTCATTTCAATTAGTATATCCTTCATTTTTGACTGGTTCTTTTTTATGGTTCCCTGTCCCTTTTTATGCTTTTGAATTTCTTAGTTCCTTGGGAATCCTTATGACCATTGTTTTGAACTCCGTTTCTGGTAGTTAGTTCCCTTGCCTCCATTTCGTTTTGTTCTTTTTCTGGAGAATTCATCTCTTCTTTCACTGGGGACCTGTTTGTTTGTTTCCTCATTTTTGCTGCTTCCCTGTGTTTGTTTCTGTGTTAAATAGTGCTGCTCTGTCTCCTGGTCTGAGTAGACTGCCTTATGTAGTAGGTGTCCTGTAGGGCCCAGTAGCACAGCCTCCCCAGTCACCTGAGCCAGGCATTCCAGGCACCCCTGTGTGTGCTATGTGCACCCCCTGTTGTAGCTGAGCCTCGATCGCAGTTGGCGTGTTGCTGGGAGGGATTGATCTCCAGGCCTGTTGGCTGCAATGGGTGGAGCTGCTGTGCAGCTCACCCTCCTGAGCAGAACTCGCTTCAGCGGGGCTTTGGTGACTGCTGACTTTGTGTCTTGAGTGTGTCACTTTTGGAGGTGGTTGGGTTGTAATCCAGATGGTCTGAAGTTGTCCTCCTGGTACACTGATCACTTCTGGGGCATCCTGGGAGGTGTGGACCTAGGTCTGCCCAGGACTTTCCGGCATAATCTACAGAGGGATGCATTTGCCTGCTAATTGTGCTGGGCTTGGAGGTGTCCAGGAGAGGCCAAGTTGCAAACCAGGGGTCTACTAGTGCCAAGTCTGGAGGCACTTAGCAAGAAGTATATGGTATATAGAGGCCAGATGCTGCTTGTTTGAGAAAGTCGAAAATGAGCCAAGAGAAGCTGTTTGTATGGAAGAGCCAAGGGAAATGGCTTAGATGGGCCCACAAGTTGGATGGGATGGGATCTCAGGAAATACCCAGGGTAGGGCCAACAGTGGGAACTAGGTTGGTGGAGACTCAGATATGGCACCCACCTGCCAGCTCTGTGGGGAGTGGGCTCAGGAAAGGAACAATAATCTCTGCCAGTACTTTTGTCTGGGAGAAAGCTGCCCCTCCAGCTCTTGTCCTGAAGCCAGAGAATTCAGTTTTTCCTCCCATGTCCCTGACACCTCTCAATCTGCTGCCCCAGTGCTGGAACTCCGAGCCAGTGCGTCTGAGTAAGTTCATGTGCAGGCCCTTTAATAGTAATGCCTGGGACTGCAGAAACCTCCATCTCCCTCAGCCACAGTCTCTGCTGGTTTTCACATCTAGAAGTAGTGGAGACTCCTCTTCCCAGCACTGGAACTGGGGAGACTGGTGTGGGGATGGGACCCCTCACTCCTCAGGTGGGACCTCCACAGTGAGATACCTTTCCTGGTTTTTATCTACCACAAGTGGGTATGAGACCACCCCTTCCCTGTCTGCACCCCACCTACCAGTCTGGAGGGGGCTTCATCTTCATATCCTTAGTTATAGGACTTCTGTTCAGTTAGATTTCAGGTGGTTCTGCATGATGATTGTTCTGTAGTTTAGTTGTGGTTCTGATGAGGTTGTGGGAGGTTCTGAGAACCACTTTTACTTACACTGCCATCTTGACCTGAAATCACTAATTTTTAGATCAAACTCCCTGGTAATATACTCATGGAGCCCTTACTTTGGACTAGGGCTCTTCCAAGCATTGTACATAGACTGACTTATTTAGTCTGCTGCCATTTCACAATGAGGGAACTTCTCCAAGGTCACACACTTAGTATTAGGGCCAAGATTCAAATGGGATAATCTTGCTGCAGAGTCAGTACGCTTAGCCACAGGTGACCAGAGGGTGTGGTGGTTGCAACCACAGGATGCAATGATGCAGGTAGGGAATTGAGGTGCAGAGTACCTTTCCTAGGATCACACAACTAGTAAGTGGCAGAGCTGGGATTCGAATTGAAGCACTTTGACCCTAAAGTGTGTGCTCTCCTAATCTAGCATTTTTTGCAAATATGCAGCTTTTTAGATTCTTCTGTTACTGTAGATACTGCCAATTGGAATTTGGTATTGCAAATCATGTGTACTTCTGGGTTTACTCTTAAGATCTTACCCAGAATTTTACCAGGATCTTTTGCTGTACTATTATTATACTGGATAAGCCATTAATAAAGAGATACTACAGCTGCTTTGTTAATATTAGCCCATGATTTCAAAACTTCCTTGATTTGTGCAAGTTAGATACTCATAAGTCCATCAAAGTTTATATAAAGAGAAGAAAAATTTTTCCATGCTCCTTTACAAAGCTTTGCTACTTTGCATGTCTGAAAATCTTTCAGATTTCCTTTCTTAGTTTCGTGTGTTCTTAATTTCGTATTAAAAATCCAGATTTCTTCCAGGTATTGGACATTGCCCCATGTCAAACTTGTAAAAACAAATTATTTAGAGTTTTATATCAATAACTGTGTAAATAGGACAAATACATCTCAGTCCTTTGGCAAGCAGCCTTGAGAATTGAAACCATTTCACATTGTGGGTTTAAGTCAATGTAGCACTTAATGAGTGTAGTCTTTGTATAATGCATCAATTCTAGATTTTAAGGGGTGATTTTAGGAGTTCTTTGTCTCACATTTTAGTGCAATGAAACAAATCACCCCAGGGTCTTCTTACAAAATTAAAAAACCCGATTCAGGAGGCACAAGGTGCAATGCTGGACACTGTATTTCTAACAAGCTCCTGAGTGATGTTGATGCCGCGAGTCTGTGAACTCTCTTGGAGTAGCAGGGACACTGAGCTCTAAAGTGGCTCTCTAAAGGCGAAAACAAAGCCCTGATTGGTAGCATTTGTTAATATTCATGATATAAACACTCCCCCAGTGGTCAGGGCCAACCGACCAATATGATGCTACTGATAGCTGAGTTGGGAAGAGATGTGCAGCGCAGCACCCGGGTGGCTCCCCGTGTAGGCACAGTCTGGCTCCAGCACCCACCAGACCTGCGTGGCTATGCACCCTCTGTGTCAGGATTCAGAATCGCAAGTGGCACTGTTCCACCCTGCAAAGGATTTTAATAAGGCTAGAGAGACAAAATGTTATGGGGAAAATGACTAGAAATTAGTTACAAAGTGCTGAGAACAGGTACAAAGTAACATAGTTCCAAGGTTACATAGACTGGATTGGAGGGCACCTGGACGGAGTTAAAAATTCACTTGAGGCCAATCATGGGGCCTTTTGGGTGAGATTTAAACCAGGTTTTGATGGTGATGGTTTTAGATGAGTGGGGAAGGAGAACACTCATAGAAAAGGAAGTGGAGTAAGAGCTAGCCAAACGTCTAATGCAGCAAGGTGAGGGGAAACTGTGCTATGACTAAAGAGTGGGAGGAGGGGGCTGTTCCCGAGGCAAAACAGGGGACTCCTAGTTTCACAAATGCTTCATCTCTGGCACGTGTGGGAGTGAAATAATCAGAGTAATTAAACGTTCAGGTTCACGAGAGTTGACCTATGTACCAGAGAGACATGGCAATTTGAAAGTGATAGAATAATACATTGAGGTGTTCAGAACCTAATGTGTTTACTGTCTGATGCAGAAAGGACTTCCAGAGCTGCCGTTTCTCAGAGCCACCGCTTGGAGCACCTCTGCTCTCTATTCCAGTAGAGTCAGGACGGAACCTGGGACGTTCCATTCCCAGCGTCTATAAAGAAAAGTGTGTTCTCAAGTCTTTCTCCAAAGCTGTGGTGTGAGATCATCCGGGAACCCCCAATCCATGGAGAAAATTGCTAACTGGAAGAAGTGCCCTTCCTTATACCACACTGAGGCCAAACTCAGTTTCCTCATCTGTAAAATGGGATCAGCAATACTTTACTCGTATGGTTTCTGTGAGGATTAGATGAAACACGGCCAAGCCATGTCACTACTGATGAAATACAGGAGTCTACATTCCAAGTGCCTCTCTGAGAGAACCCACGGCCAGCTGTAAGCTGTGCGTGAACATCTGCGGGCCTACTGCCCTCCCAGGGCAGGCTTTGCTGGGCCCTCCGGCTCCTCCTCCAGTCAGCCACCCAAATGTGAGAGTGTCTGCTTACATTTCTGAGAGCCAAATACAGATTTATTTTGGAAAAAAAATCCTTTTCTTTCCTGTGTCTTGGAATAAATATGCTATTTCATTTTCTTAATTTGTACCATGTTAAGAACCAGAAGAGGGAACTTAAGGTCAATCAGTCTCTCAGGTTGAGAAACTCTTAAGCTATAAGCTCCAGAATCTTGTCTTTGTTTCTAATAGGCTTGTGGGGAAAAGTGATATAACCATGAGATCACTGTGTTCTTTTAGATGATTTCCTGTTTCCTGTGTATTTAAATACACAGGGAATAATCCCGCTATTAAAATGAGACCCTGTATGTGTGTATGGGCAGAAGTTCAATGAAAAAGGAAGAAAAATACGCTTGCTGAATACCAGATGTAGAATGCATAAATCCTGTCAGAACAAGTGGGGAATAGCTTTATGGCTGACTTGCAGGAAACCTAAGGGAACTGGGAAGTCAGATAGGCATGTGTCAAACAGACTTATTTAAATCATCCGCTTCCTCAGCAAAATAAAAGTTTGAGAGGGTTCTGTTTTCTTTTGTGGTTTGAAATTACAGTTGTAGGCTTCAGAGGTCCTGCTTGATTGAGGGCTTTCAAGCAAAGGAGTTACATGGCCCAGTTCAGACTCCTGGCAACCCCGGGATCGCCCAGCGCCTCTGACTGAGGTCTCCAGCCGTGCCCTGTTTGTCCTTTCTGTTCCTTGTCATCTCAGAGACAAATTGCAGTGCAGCTGCCCGCTGCTTCATGGCCCTGCAGCTCGTCATGGCTGCAAGGCTTGTGCATCTGAAAGAGAATGGTGCCCACTGGCTGACTCCTCAGACCTGGCTCCCGGGACGGGGTGGGGGGGAGCTGCAGACCCAGAGTGTGATCCTTAGCCCTTCAGGCTTGGAGACTAGGCAGCTGTTACTTCCGCATCATCCTGTTCACGGAGACCATCAGTTTGGGTTAAAACAAGCAACCCTGATGTAGAAACAGTCACCTGCGTGTACTTCGCAACCAGGCCCGTACTAATTTGTAGTGAGAGATAAGTTGGATGCCAATTATTTTCAGGTGTGACCTCCTGGCTGGTAAGTCTTTCATGAGGCCACTTTGTGGTTTAGTGGGTGTAAATAGACGCAAAGGAAAGTTATCCAGGTATCAGCCATTTCCTTTAAGTTACGGTGGCTCCCTAAAATGGGTTTTCTCCACATATTTCTGTTGAAAAGGATCCTGTTGCATATATTTTTTTCTTTCATGGCTATACTATATAGTAGAATAAAAAAATTATGGTGCTGTGAAAAGACCATGGGCTTTGTAGTCAAACACAACCAGATCTAAATTATTCCTGCTTCACTACTTACTAATCTGTGGACTTGAACGTGTTACTGTACCTCTCTGAGGCTCAGTTTTCTAATCTTGCTGAGTATATATATATATATATATATATATATATATACATATACATACACACACACACACACGGCCTTTATATAGAACCCAACACAGTATCTGCTACTTTGGGAAACCTCAGCAGATTCTTACTCCTCACCACCCATCCATTCATTTATTCATCTTTTACTAAATGCCCATTGAACCCTTTTTATGTGGCAGCCACTCTCTCCGTTAAGTAGAGCTACAAACAAGAATTAAGATGTGAGCTTTGACTAAGGAAATAGTCTCACTGTCTAAAATGGAAGCATATGTGTATTAAAAAGCACACACCAGGCACAGAGGTGGTCTGAAGGGAATATTTAACTCTTTCCAGTAAGAGTGTGAAGTGTCAGGAAAGCTGTAGCCAAGGACATGATTCATAAGTTGAGCCTTGAAGAATGAGTGAGAGTTCCGCAAAGGAGGTAAAGGGGTGGGAGAGGTGGTGAGGGTGAGAATTTCAGAAAGTCCAGGGTGCAAAGACCAAGAGACAGAGAACGGTTGGCACCTTCAAGAATGACAAATCATCTGTGGGTAAGAGCATGGGGGTTCTGGTGGGAATGGGAGGGTGTACATGGCAAGAAAGATGAGTCAGGAGCTGTTGAAGGCCTCAGGCAACATGCAGAGGCATATGACAATTGTCCTTTGGGGAGTGGTGAGCTGTGGAAACTTTGCGAGCAGATGCATACAGATCACTGTCCTGCTGATACGACCTTAACTACCATAGAGGTGCTTATTAATGATTCTAATATGCATAATTTATTTTTTACTCCTCTTGATTATATTTGGACATACATATGAGAAACATTAAAATAGTCAGCTCACAAACAGACATGCTATGGCTTCTCCCTAACATATATTTTTTAGGGGGAGGGCTGATGGTCGAGGGCTTACAGTCATTCCTCTGTGTTCTTGTTTCACTGTTCAACAATTTTGTTAAAAGAGAATGTGTACCCTGCATATTCATTTTTATTTTCCTTTTCTTTTTCTTCCTCTGTTTCAAAAATCCCTTCTTCATCAAAATTTCTGAAGAACTTGTACATATTTTCCTGCTATAACAATAGGGAAAAATTAGTAAATTTTTGTGCCCACACTTTGCATGAGTTTGGGAGGATATTGGTATCATGGGAGTGATGCTAGGTATCAGAATTCAGAGGTCTCATTCCCAGAGCCGTTGTAGATAGGGTGGGTAAGTGGGGAGAAACCCAGACTTCAGGGCTCAAGAGCTGAGGATTACCATTGGAACCTGGGTCTCTGCTATGTTGCAGCTCAAAGAAGGATGCCCCAAAAGCGCAATGAACTTGAGCATTAGAACCATCCTGATAGGAGGAAGAAATGTCCAGCGGGGGGAATATGGAGTATGCATAAGTGAGTGTGGTCATCAGTTCCCGACCATGCAGGTGAGGGTTCAAAGAAAGATCGATGGTCTTGGTGGTAAAATAGTATGTCACACACAGAACCTAGGGGAGAGCCCAGTAAACATGAGGGCGAAAGGCAGCAGCAGCTGGTGGCTGTCCCTCTGGATAATGGCCTCTGCTGGCAGGAGGCTGTGATTTCAAACGTTGCTGGATGGTAGGAATGAGGTTGCGATGGTTTCCTTCCTCTGCGGAGAGAATAGCAACTGAGCCAAAGGAAAAAACTATGCTGTGTCTCAGCAGAACAGTGCCTGGGAAGTGTTGTTTTTCTAGTAGTAAGCAAACAGAAAAAAATACATAGCAGAGAGGTGTGCGTGTCAAAGAAAATGATTTTAAAGTTCCATATTTTTGTGTGTGCTTAAGAATGGCCATTAATATGAAATGAAAATCAGTCTTGACCTTTGAAAAAACTTTTTCTAAAAGCGAAGTTCCATTGAGAGACTAAGAAGTTTTCAGAAGTGATACTACCAGATCTTGGGGTGAGGATGAGGGGGGGAGGGAGGAGAGAGGGGTTAACAAGGCTGCATAGTCTGTTAGACTGGATCCCCAACATCTGCATGATAAAATTTACATATAAACAGCATGCAGTTTAGAAAAAAATAGCTAGTTATGCTAGTGTCTTTTTTCTTTGTTGATGTTTCAGTGTTATATAAACCCTGCGTCCTTCCACATTTTCAGCTCTTACCTAAAAGCCAGAGCGAGTACCACCTGGGTTGGGAGAAAGAAGACGAAAATGAAACTGGGGAAGTAAATGGTGGGAAGTATCCTGAAGGAAACCAACTGCGTCTGTTCGAGTCAGCAGGTTTTGGGACAAGTTATTATGTAGTCATTTGACAGCTGTGTGGAGAGTGTTCTGACGTGTTTTTTCTCTCACATTTTCTCTCTCTTCTGCCAGAACCTGTAGTGATTATTATCGCCCCTCTCAACCCCTTCCTCTCCTCTCTCTGTTGCTGCGGAGGCTCCCTGAGTTCACTGACCCTGGGGATGAACCACGCGGAAGAGCGAGCACTGCCTGTCTGGTGAGCTTGAAGACACGTGGGGGCAGGTGCGGGTGGGGGGGAGCAAAAGATAGGTTTTTTATCTATCCATGACTGCAGAATAGATTATACCAAAGTGTCGGACCCTAAAACGTCAAAATTTATTATCTCACACAGTTTCTGAGATCCGGGCATCCAAGACTGGCTTAGCCAGGCAGGTCTGGGGCAGGGTCTCCTACGCAGTCGCAGCGTGGGTGTCTGCTGGGGCTGCAGTGGTTGGAAGACACAGCTGGGTGGAGGCTCCATTCGTAAGATGGCTCTCAGAGGACTGTGGCTGGGGACCTCAGTTCCTCACCCTGTGTACCTCTCCTTGTGTCACGTAATTTTTCCTTTCCTCAGAGCAAATGACCCAAAGCAGAAAGACAGAAACTACAATGTTTATTATGACCTAATCTTGGAAGTGACACACCGTCATTCCCACCATATTCTATTCATTAGAAATAAGCCATTAAATCCAGTCCACACTCTTGAATTAAGCTCTATCTCTAGAAAGAAAGACTATCAAAGAATTTATGGGCATGCTTTTAAAACGACCCCAAAATATATAGGCCAGTTTCACAAGATAAAAACCTGAGGCTGGGGCAAAGTTATGGATGTCTCATTCTGCAAACAGTGGCCTCATCTACAATAAAAGCGTTAGAGTCCATGGGTCATCACAGCCAAATAAAAAAAGTGGTTGTTGGAGAAAACTCGCCAAGGATGTTACTTCACTTGTTTACTTACTCTAGGTCCCAGGATAATAGTTACAAATTGTGAATCCTACTGGATCATTAACACCCATGGTCATTACCAATGGAATGCATTTTATCCAATTTTTACAATAGTTAATGCACATGGCACAAAATTTACAAGATACAAAAATTTGTGGTTAAAAGTAAGATTCTCCCTTTTCTGTGTTCTTGATGATTTCTGGAATGAAATTACATTTCCTGGTCTCATAATGTAATCTCCTGAAGAGAATGTATGTATTTAAAAACAGATACGGACACTTTTTTTTTCTTCCACAAATAATAATGTACTATATGCATTGTTCTATACTTTTAAAAAATATATTTTATTGATTATGCCATTACAGTTGTCCTATTCCCCCCTTCATTCCCCTCCCCCACCATTCCCCCCCACCATTCCCCCCCCTTCGTTTATGTCCATGTGTCACAAGTTCTTTAGATTCCATATTTCCCATACTATTCTTGCCCTCCCCCTATCTATTTTCTACCTACCGTCTATGCTACTTATTCTCTGTACCTTCTCCCCCCTTCTCCTCCCACTTCCCTGTTACTAACCCTCCATGTGATCTCCATATCTATGTTTCCACTCCTGATCTAGCTGTCCTCTTAGCTTGCTTTGTTTTAGGTGTGGTTGTTAATAACTGTGAATTTGCTGTTCTTTCACTGTTCATATTTTTATATTCTTTTTCTTAGATAAGTCCCTTTAACATTTCATATAATAATGGCTTGGTGATGATGAACTCCTTGAATTTGATCTTATCTGAGAAGCACTTTATCTGCCCTTCCATTCCAAATGAAAGCTTTGCTGGATAGAGCAATCTTGGTTGTAGGTCTTTGGATTTCATGACTTGGAATACCTCTTTCCAGCCCCTTCTTGCCTGTAAGGTCTCTTTTGAGAAATCATCTGACAGTCTGATGAGAACTCCTTTGTAGGTGACTGTCCCCTTATCTCTTGCTGCTTCTAGGATTCTCTCCTTCAATTTAATCCTGGCTAATGTAATTATGATGTGCCTTGGTGTGTTCCTTCTTGGGTCCAACTTCTTTGGGACTCTCTGAGCTTCCTGGATTTCCTGGAAGTCTATTTCCTTTGCTGGATTGGGGAAGTTGTCCTTTATTATTTGTTCAAATAAGTTTTCCACTGGTGGCTGTTCCTCTTCCCCTTCTGGTACCCCTGTAATTCAGATGTTGTACATCTTATAATAAGATGTCCTGGAGGTTTCTAAGCCTCTTCTCATTTTTTTGAATTCTTGTTTCTTCATTCTTTTCTGTTTGGTCATTTTTTTCTTTCTTCTGGTCCACTCCCTTGATTTGAGTCCCAGTTTCCTTTCCACCACTATTGGTTTCCTGTGCATTTTAATTAGTTTAGCCTTCATTTCAATTAGTTTAGTTCCCTTCCTTTCAATTAGTTTAGCCTTCATTTGTTCTTCTAATTTGTGACTAAAATCAACCAATTCTGTGAGCATCCTGATCACCAGTGTTTTGAACTGTGCATCTGAAAGGTTGGCTATCTGTTGGTCCTGTAGAAGTATTGGCTCTGGGGCTTTGAGCTGTTCTTCTTGAGCCATAATGTTTTGGTCTGTTTGTGCTTGTTACATATGAGGAGCGGAGCCCTAGGTGTTCACTAGGGCGGGGCGGCCCAGATGGCTGGGTTGTGATGCGGTATGTGGGGGTGGGGTCAGAGAGGGGCAATGGTGTTTGATCTGCTCTCTCTCAGATTTCTGTCCCCTCTGTCGCTTCCCACAAGCAACTTGGGCCCTTCTGGTGCTGGTTCCCCGGTGTGTGTGCCTGTGCACCCTCCAGGACCCTGTGGATCTCTCAAACGAACTCTCTGTGAGCCTGGGAGCCTCTCCTGGTACCTCGACCCCAAAAGTCTTTCCAACTGGTGCTTTCAGGCTCTAATTCCCGTCGTTGGGGCCCTAGCCTGCGTGGTCTATCTCACTGTTTGCTCCTTTGGTTGGTTTATCTGTGCGCGAATGTGTGACCAAGGTCAGCCAGCCACCCTGAGCCCTCACTGGGTCCACCCATCACAACCCCACACTTGGGATGGGCCATCCGCCCCTTGTGCTCCTGGGGTGGTCTGGCTCATCTTTCCTGCCCACCCCACTCCACCAGCCACTGACTCTGCCCATCTTACCAGTCTGGCTGAGTTGTTCGTTGTTGTTGGACTTCCATACAGTTCAATTTTCTGTGTTTTGGCTGCATTTTTGTTACTAAAACTTTGTTGTCTTTAAACTTGGTTGTGTGAGGAGGCACAGTGTTTCCACCTATACCTCCATCTTGGCTGGAAGTATATACTTTGCTTCTTTTCCAACTAGCAGTATTTGTTCAACGACTTCTCTGGTAGCACATGTAGGCTTGTTTCAGTTTTCAGTGGCTGCTTAGTATTGCATTATAGTTGTCTGAGCACTTACCTGCCTATGTTGTTCCCCGTCTCTTGTTACTACTGCCAAAGCTGCAGCGAATACCTCTGCATGCTCATTGTTTCTCACCTAGGTTAGAATTCTGTACATTTTAAATACTGACACATACTGACCAGTTCCCCTCCAAAGGGGCTTTCCCAGTTGTTCCCGCCACAAGAATACGAGTGTCTGCTTCTCCATACTCTTGGCAATACAATAGGTTATCCACTCTTTGATATTTGCCAGTTTTGTAGGTACAAATGGTTTGGAATTGTACTTTTAATTTATAGTTATCTTATTGTGAATGAGGTCGGGGCTCTTTTTATTTACTTTACTATGAACTATTTGTTTTTTATTTTTGACCACTTTTATATTTGGGTTGTCTTTTCCTCATTAATTAGCAGGAGTTCTTCACAGATTGAAGAAATTAGCTCTTTTCTGGAATGTGAGTGGCACATATTTATTCCTAGTGTGTCATTTGTTTTTTTGGCTTTTCTTTTTTATTACAATGTAGTCATTTTTAAATATATCTTTACATGATCACATTCATCAGGGTTTTTTTTATCTCTTATAGTTTCTGGGTCTGTCATTCTTAGATGGTCTTCCCACTCTGAGGTTATTAAGAATTTTCCTATTGTTTCCTTTAGTACTATTATGGTTTGATTCTTTTTATATTTTAATTTTGATTGAATTGGTTGTTTTAATGCCTTGCACTGTATTAAAGTATATATACTGTGCGAAGCACTGTTTTACCCATTTTGTTTCAGGTTCAGATATTTCTATTTTGTTCTCAGTTTTCTCATTTATGGAATAGGGGTAATAAGTACTACCAAGTGCCATCCTTGACTTTTGGTGGGAAGAGACCATTTTCCAATTCTGAAAGCCATGCCAGAATTTTCTTCCTCCTTAGTTAGAAGCCTTCACTCAATAATTATGTTCTCTGCCCCAATGGGAGAATTAAAACCAACATGCATTACAAGATAGGTTGCCTATACTAAAAAAAAACAAAATTCAAACTATTTCTTGTCTGCCTACATGGGGGCCCTTGCTTTCACTTATAATGTTTCACTTACAGTGACACTTAGGAATGTCATAAATGTAATGGCAATTAGGAAAAGTTGGCCTATAGATTTATAAATAGTATTTATAGGCCACCAACTCAAATCGAAAAAAATCAAGTTCACCTGCTGCAAATACAAATGATGATAGCTTGGAATAAAAGCCAAAGTATATTTTACTCATTGATGCATTGTGCATGGTACCCTTCCAATGTTCTTCGCTTTTCTTTCTCTGTCTTCTGCCTGTTTTACTGCTCATTAACATTCCACTAGGAAGTGAGAAGGGTGATAACAAGAAATAAAATGAAAGTTGAACTACAACTAAGAATTGCATTTTTTTATAATGCCAATGTGAGAATGTTATAAATATCTCAACTGTAAACATAAATTGCTACTTTGGTTAGTATATGGTATTTTGAATGTGCAAATAATGACGAAGAATTAGAATACATTTCATGGCAAAGGACAGATTAACAGAATGTTATCGATGGAAGGACCCACATGGGTAGACTGCAGGAGCATCTGTCTGGCACATGAGAACTACAGAAATAGTCATTAAAAGAAAAAAGAAGAATTAGCAAGTATACACATGAATTCTCAAGACCTAACGACATTTCCAAAAGCAAATTGCAAAGCTTGTCCTACACATTGGAAAACCGAGGTCACTTGCTAGAGTCAGGGATGGCATTTACAATGGAAAGATTTCTTTAAAAAATTATTTTAACAACTTTTTCAAAAAGGAGATTGGCAATGGAAGTACATGGCACTATATGAATATACATCAAAATATTAATATTATGGCATCTATGCTATTTATATTGTTTTATTATTATCCTTATATTTTATGTCTCAAATTTTCTACAGTAAACTTGTATTAATTTTATAGTCAGAAGTAACTTTCAAAGAAAAATTTTGTTTCACTTCCTTTGTTCATCTGTCAATGGCATTTGTTCTGTGAATTTTGTTAGTTAAATCATCTCAGGGATCGGAGTGGGCAATTTCCATCACATGAATGATTTTAGTGATCACAACTTGGAGTTCAGCCCTAATGTGGTCTTATACACATAATGACTAGGGTTATTAGACTGCTTCCAAAAATAGGAAGGACTTTTAAAGTTTGAAGACAGTGACCCAACTTATAGGCAATTCAGTAGCTCAGAATACTATATTTTCTAAATGTCACAAGATAACTGGATATGATTAACTTGCAGCTATAAGAAAAATGATTGCCAATATAAAATATTAAAGATTTGTTGTAGAAATCACTTGTATTCAGCTCAAATTAGCAATATGTACTACAGAAAATATATGTAATATGCATATTATATATTCTATGTATGTAAGTATATATATTTATATATGTTAAGCAGAGGTTAATTAGAGATTACATTTATTATTATTGGTGAATTTCCCTCAGTTTCAAGAAAATGATAGATTTCAAAAAATTTTAGTGGCATCTGCTGCAGATGAAGTCAAGTTTAGAAGAATTTCACAGGCCCTTTTATGAGGATAAAGAATATGTTTTTGTTTATATTTTTGTGGTACAAACCTAGTACCTGAATCATCTGCCTCAGCATGGAGCTTATTTCAAAATGTATTGATTGACTCAAGAACACATTTTCTGATATTTTCAACGTCAATTATCTGAAGTTAACTTGTGATTTCTGGCTGCATTACCAAATCTGAGCCAACTCTGGCGACCCTTCTCTGTGTAAATCTCGGTTGCTTATAAGTCTGCTAAACTTTGTGCCGAGATTTAGAACCAAACCCAGAATTAAATGTGTTCCAAGTGTGCCTCAGATTTCACCAAATAGTCTTATTTTTTAAATATAAAATTTTTAATAGAAATACATAAAAGAGATCAGTGACTAGCATTAAAGCTGTAGATGTATGGAATAGATTACATGGTTTTCCTAATTGCTTTATAATGCTTCTAATGACTACATCTGTATTGTGTTTCATTAGGTCATATTGCATCCATGTTTATTGTTGAAAATCCAGCCCCGGTCAGTTGGTTAGAGTGCCATCCCAATACGCCAAAGTTGTAGGTTTGATCCCTGGTCAGGGCACATACAAGGATCAGCCAATAAATGCGTCGGTAAGTGGAACAACAAATCAATATCTCTATTTCTGTCTCTGTCTCTCTCTCTCCCTTCTTTTCTAAAAATCAATAAATGAAAAATAATAAAAATTTGTAGCACACACATACTGATTTCTGAAAATGAAAGTTCATAGACGTGAAATGCTTTATTTTTTTACAACTACAGAATGGCTAGCCAGAACCCAGGAGACACAAAATCATACACAGTCAGTGGCCATTCTACTAAACCATGCTACTTCTCTGTCATTAAATAACAGGAAGGATCTTTGAAGGAAGGTCAGAGAAACTGAAAGTCCTCGCATATATAATCATGAGACATAAGAATTAAGAGATTTCCAAAAACAATGTTTACTTATATTGGCAACTGATTACCAGAGGGTTAGCAGATAAAATGAATTAGGTTTGTATGCCATTCTTACAATGTATTAATTGTCATTGTGCTAGTTAATTTTCGCCTTTGTTTTCCATATATAAAATGGAGATAATTATCATACCAATCTCAGAACTGTAGTGATGATTAAATGATTTAATAATATAAAAGCCTTGGGACAGTGCTTAACACATAACAAGTATTCGGTAGCTACTAGATACTATTACCACTATAGGCACTGTTTTACCCTTAAGATACATAAGTTTACTTAACCCTTATAATATCACTGGAATATAAGTATTATTATTCTTCTCATATGGCAAATGAGAGAAGTTTGGTAAGTGGCCACATTTTGCACTGCTCATAAGATTGAGTCAAGATTCAAAGCCAGGTCTGTGTAACTATAGAATAGAGTTTGGCAAATTAAGAATGATTTTCACACTTTTAAAGTGTTGTTTAAAAAAATGGGAAAGAGACTATGTATAACTTTCAGTTCTATAGTACTTACATCTGGACCTTTGCAGAATGTGTTTGCTGACTTCTGACTTCTTGACTACAAAAAGAAGTGTGAGAATTTGAAGAATTACAAATGTGGTTGAAGTTTAAGGTCTGGGGGAAGAAGGGAGGTGGGTGCATGGTAAGAGATAAAGCAGGTTTAAAACATAAATACTATGCATGTCATATTACAGTATTGGCATTTATCCAACACAATATTGCAAGGCTATGGGACTATTGAAAACTTTAAATGGGAAAGTGAGATACTTAAATTTACATTTTATAATGACCCTTCTGGAAGCAGCATAGGGGAATGCTGTTGGTCGGGTCAAGAGTGAAGGCAGGGTTTACAGCCCATGAGTAAAAGGGACTGGGTTTACCAGCCTGCCTCAGTCAGTTGTAAAATTGGACAAAACATGATAAAGCAACTTTTTTTCAGACTTTAGAACTTTCCTAAGGGAAAGGAAACAAATGAGGGGAGTCCTACAATTGCATAGGATTTCTTCCTTGAGGCACAGTCCATGCTATGGAGCAGGAGGGGACATTGCAAGCAATGAACAGTTGTCTTACATGATAAAGGAGGTAGAGCTTGATGTGTAGAGTGTCTGGGGTGATGTAGAGCTCTCCAGAGTACGGAGCTACACAAAAAAGGAGCTCCAGAAATAGGCGTCGGGGACCCTGTGAGTCTTTGAAAAATATTAAGACATGTATAAATAGAGTAAAAAATCTATCATGTTCAGCAAAGAACACTAGGAAGTTGTGAGCTGAACAGATTTGCACAACTCACACAAGCCTGGGAATAATTTGCATTAACCACCAGGAGACATGGAGAGCCCTCACTGACCACTTACAGAATGCCACAAAGGCTCCAGAAGGGCTGCACTTTACTAGCAGGCTAAATTATTCCCGGAGCAAATGCTCTTCTGGACCTTCCCAAAAAAAAAACTTGAAAATGAGCCTCCAAATGCTCTAAATGCAACATCAGGAAAAAAGAAACATCAACAGTAAATGATCTAACTTTATTAGAGTCTCCACTATAAGAAGCTAGGAAAAGTAGTAGTAAACCAAAGTAAATGGGAGAAAAAGAAGGAAAAAAAAGGTAAGAGCGGAAACTAAAAACACAAAACAAATATAAATTCATGAAACCCAAACCTGGGCCTTTCACAACATCAATAAAATTGGTAAATATCTAGTGAAGTTGAAAGAAGCTAGGTAAATTTCTAGTTAAAAGAGGGAAGACACAAATTTCCATTGTGTGGAATTAAAAAGGGGACATCACAGTCAGATCCTGCAGGCTCTAACTGGATAATAAGGAAATATTGCTAAAAAATCTACGATGATAAAGTTGGGTGATTGTAAAAAGTGCCCTGTGGTGGCAATAGCTACCAAACAAGAGCCACCACAAGAACAACAACAACAAAAATAATCCAAATGATCTATTGAGTCATTTTATGTGGCAGGTCTTGGCTAGGCAAGGGAGAAACAAATGAAGAGCCACCAAATGAGAAAAGTGAAGGCTATTCAGAGCTTGCTATATATGAAAGGAGTCTAATGCATTTTGGAAGAGACTCAAAGATGGGCAAAAGAGTGAGAAAGCTTTATAGTGGAAAGGAGACATCTTCAAGAATGTCCTGATTGGAGGCCGTTGGCATGGGGAAGCTGTAGGCTGGCAAACAAGCAGAGCATCCTATGTAATTGTTTAGGGTTGCAATTTGGGCTTTCTCTGCTTGGCCTGAAATTGGGAATGAAAATTAAAGAAGTCATCAGTTATTAATCAAGTCCAGGGGCCATTTTAGGCTGGTTGTTAGAGAAATAATTGTTTCATTTTCTGGACTGTATGGGAAATGTCCTGTGAGTCCAATGTATGGCAGGACCACTCAATGTACATAAGGGAGTTGGTTTTCTGGCTGGGTTGCAGGCCCAAGTTCTGTTTTTATGCATAGTTTGTTTGTATATTCGCTCTTTCACTAATAAGTGATGTAGTGATGCACCCTTCATTTTGACAATTTAATGGAGGGAGTGATCCAGTCCTCCTAGGTGTATCTGAGAAGCCTTCACAGTGAAGACAGTGTTTGAAATGAATCTTGAAGTTTTAAGGCAAAGGGAAAAGGAAAAGGAATTGCTACTAGAGATTACAACATTTGCAAAGAAACATACAGACGAGTGCATGGTATTTTGGGGGGAAGCAGTGACCTTTTAGAGAACCTTGCATGTAGGCGGGTGGGGGACAGAAGATGAGCCAGGGAAGAAGTTTAGAACCAAAGGGAATGAACTTTGAATGCTGTTGTAAGATATAACCTTTATGGACTCTGAGGGAGAAAGGAATGTTTTCAAGCCAATAGTTAGAATACCAGATCTGTGTCTTAGAAAGATAGTTCTTATGATAGTGGAAAATATGCATGGGGGCCCCCAGGGGTGGAATCTTGCACACAAGCTAGGTTGGTATTTTGAAAACTCAAAGAGGAGATGATGAAAGACTCGATCTGAGCGGGGATAGTGGAGATGGAACAGAGGGCAGGCGGAAATGACCAGGGCAGCATCTTGAACAGAGTGAATTCCCCATAAATATGTTACGTTTCTGAGTCAATGAATGAAATATCTAGGAAGTGGAATGGGTGTAATAACATAAGGATAAGAAGGAGTCAAGAACTAAGTTTTTAGCTTCAATGACTGATTGTACAGTAATGTCATGGGCCAAAGTATGAAAAAATAGGAACTATGGCAGGTGAGGATGTCAGGTTCAACTTTGAGCCTGCTTTGGGGCTTATAAAGTTGGAATAGGGTTTCAGCAATGGGGTGTGGAGGCTGGGGCCCGGGGTCACTGGTAACATAGAGGGAGAAGTTGGAATCATGAGAATGGGTGATTGTGCAGAAAGACCTTTGGAAGCCAAGGAGGAGGGTTGAGTCCTTGAAACACTGAACTTGGAACAGCATACAGAAGAGGAAGCAGCAGTGATTGCCAAATAAAAACTGTCTCTGTGCTCCCTTGGAATTTCCCCCTTTAGATTGCTTTATGCCCAGTTTAGCCATTCATCTGCTTAATGGTATGGAGATGAAACAGAGCTTTTAAAAAAAACTGCAGAAGTCAGGTTGCGTGGGGTATACAGAACTCTAGGATTGGACTCTTCGAAGCATTAACCTTGTGCTGGTGAGTGACCCTGTGGCATGAAGGGACCTGAGTTGGAATCCAAGCTCACCCTACCTCTGTGACCTTGACCATGTTACTTGTTTGAGCTGCATATTGATATTAATTATATCTATCCTATAGGCTTTTATGATTAAATGAGACAGTTCTATATATGTAAAGTGCCTAGTGGTATCCAGCACATATTTTATGCGCAATAAATAAAAGTTATAATTGTAACAAAAGCTAAAAGAGTGACACTCAAGAAAAGCTGTAAATGCAGTTTGTGTTTTACCACATGCAAAATAGTTTTGTATTACAGAAGTAATAATGGGGACTTAACTTTTTTTTCTCTTAGCTCTTCCTCACTTCAAAAGTACAAGGGGACCCCAAAAAACCCAGAATTATCTTCTGGAGGGCAGGCCCCTTGTACTACAGGCTTCCCCTACTAGGTTAGTGTTCTATGAACCTGTCTGTATCAGTGTGCCAGCTGGTGGTGGTGTGAGAGGCTGTGTTTGGCTACAGTGAATTTTTTATAAACTCTTTCAGTACATTTGCCCATTTCATGATGGGTGGTTTATGAACCCACCTGCCTATTCCATGCTGATTGTTCAGCAATTTTTTACCAAAAATGGCACACTCCCATGACCCATCCTCCCTATTCCCCCTATCTCATCCCAGGCAACTTTGTTTCCCCAGATGAAAACAAGTCTTCAAAGGGAAATGTTTTGCCGATGTGGAAGAGGTGAAACAAAAAACAGCAGACTGACTAAAAGGCATCAAAATCAGTGACTTCAAAAACTGTTCTGAGCAGTGGAAAAAACATCTCAATAGGGGTATTACATCAAATGGAGAGTACTCTGAAGGCGACTGAAGTTTAAACATGTAAAAATAAATATACAAATTTTTATAAATAAATTCCATTTTGGGGGGTTACTGCCTCATATTTTAGTTCAATAAAAACCAGTTGTTTTTGTTAGAAAATAATTTTTAAACATTCAAAATAAC